CTGAAACTAACGTTTCGGCAGCCTTTGAATCTTTAGCCAGTAGCGGGCAAACGCCTTCTACTTCCTCATCTTGTCCATCACATTTTTTCTATTTCCGAAATGATAGCACAATACAACTGTAGTGGCAGCTGATCAGCTTTGGGGGGGGGGATAGTTCCACTAACAGCGAAACGACAGAAACGGTCGTAGCCGCAGAATTGTTAATGCTCCCTTTCGCAGACGCTTTAAGGCTACACCAGAACCGAACATAAGCTTCCTATTACTTGTTACACTCAAAGCGGACCAACGGCATCATCGTGAATGGCCAGTCTGTACTCGGCCTTGTTTCTTGGCAGCCATAACTGAAACTGCTGTTGTTAGTAGCCCATCAAGAGAGCCTTCTGTTTCTATACTTACGGTCCCGAGAACGCGCGGGCGGGCAGGCGTTCGGTCGGTCGCCATTCCGTTTACCGTGTTGCTAGTAATGGCGGTGGTGGTGCTTACTGATAGAGCCTAAACGGTTGCACCGACGGGCCAGACACTCCCGCGTCATTGCCCACATATATTGCCCTTCTGCGCCGTTGTTCGTTAAGGAAACGTTCCCAAAAGCACTTCCCTTCTGCGCTTTGCGTATTCCGATGCGCGCCACAACACTGGTTAGCAGCTGTTGGCTACGAAGTGTAGTCGTTGTATTAGAACGAATGTAGAGAAGAAAAAAAATTGAATATAGCGCTTTCTTATCGTAACCCGCAGTTTTGTGCGGTTCGATATACTTCGGGTTCGTCTCACGAAATCATGACTTGAGCCGTCAATGAATAGGAATTTTACTTCGAAGTTGCTGTGCTCAGAGCGACTCCCGTGATTTTTTCATTTAAATCTACCTCCGGTCACTTCGGAACTCGGCTGGCCTGAACACGTTGCTACATGCCCTTACTGCTATAATGTATTCTGTAGCTTGTTGAGGGGAGGTGATAAATAGAACATACAGCGAAAATTAATGAGAAACTAGGCCATAAAAAATAGTCAGAGCGGACCCTCGCCAAAACCATTTTTCCTTTACATCCTATGTATATTGGGCGCATGTCAATGAAGGCCGTATGTGCTTTTACTCCTGTTGTGAATTTGATACGGACCCTTGAACCGAGTTGGGCTAAAAGTGGGAACAGGCCACGAGGCCAAGGGACGAGTTTTGCTGTTCAAGGTCAAGCACGGATTCAAACAACAGTTTTGCGTCACTCTAGCGAACGTCATGCGCTAGATGTTCATGACACTATCTCCTATAAGCTTGTGTATTCGTATCCTCATTCAGTGGACTGTGAAGTCGCGCTTTGCAAACCACACGGATGCTGCTGTTGTATACTTCAACCTATCTAGAAGCTCCTCAATGTAAATGTGCATGGAAAACAAAATAGAAAACGAGACGTATATGTATTGTTCTTCGCTTTCACTAAACCGAAGCATTACCTGTTCAGGCGGTTGGTTGGCTCTTTAGGAATAATTTAAATCCTTAGAAACAGCCGATACTTTCTATGACCCTGGCAGCACGCCTACAATCCACTACCTTAAAACTATGGATGGTTCCAAATCTTAGTCTTACCATCGAGCTCGTTGTTTTTTAGCGCGCAGTTTCCCGTGTCCTGTGCGTTACGTTTCAATGCCACTGGTGACGAGTGATGCACAACCTCGCTCCCCTCGGCTCGACTAATATCCGGCCGGCAACCCGACTTAGCATAGCCCATTACTTTTATATGATCGTCAAGACATCGCTTACAATCTTCTGCTTGCTTGCATGTCCACCTGCCGGTGAAATCCAGCTCAGCGTTTGACGCCACCGTAATGGCTTCTGCAGAGCGCTACAACGTCGACCGTATAGCTACGACGGAATAAGACAAGATCGAAGCAGACAGCGTAAGGAGAACCTGATAGCAGTCTTAGCAGCAGCAAAAGCCGAAACATGGTAACGGTACAGATACGCACGGGCTGAATAATTCATACACATGGAGAAACATCATAGATCTTTCTTTCTATCATCAATCTCTTGTCCTAAGTTAGCGTAATCTTTCCCCTTCGTTGGCCGTCGACGAATAGTAGCGTTTGCTCTTGGTTGTTGCCCCTTGTGCAACGCTCTCTCCTCCCCCCTCTCTCTCTTTATCTCTGTATTTTGTCCCGTTTCAATCTCCCTGCTTCCCTTTGCGTTGAGTGTCTTTGGCTCGTTATCCGCGGCCTGTCACCGTATCGGTTGCCCCCTCCCCCCCCTTCCCTGAACTCTTCTATGCAGTCGGCAAAGAGGCTCAACGATGCTGGCAGTGGCATCGCCACTGTAATGGCCGCTCGAACTGCGAAATCGCGACGGAAAGGCGTGTTACTGGTACTACCCCAAGCCGATGTCGGCTGTCCGCCGTTGTTCCTCGACCTCAACCTTGATTCAATTCCAGAAAGCTCTTTCGCTTTTTCTTCCCTCTTCTTACTCGAGATCTGCTCGACGAAGGCAGGCGGGCTTGCGCCTAGCGGGAATGAGGGTGGCAAGGGACGACTAGCCCGCCACCACGCTCGCGTTAGCACGCAGTCTGGCACACGTCGAGAGCCTGTCGGTGAACCGGTACATTCGCGTTTTTACTGTGGCGTGCGTGCTTGTGGACGTACGCATCGCTCGGACTACGTGTGATCGGGTCTGCGCGTTTGAGAGTTAGACGATCACTCCTTATGTGACCTACAGAGATGACGGCAGCCGCAGCGAACACGCTACCAGGGCCTGCGTCGGTGGCTGAACGTGTAGCTGTTTACGAAACGGGAGCAGCATGCTACATCTGTATTACTCTGCATTATGGCAGGAACCACAGTCGTGTTAGGTAGCGGTAGTTGCAGTAGTTGTGGTAGTAGTGCTAGTAGTCTTAATGGCGTTGGCAAGACATGTACCGACGTTTGTTATACAGGCGCCAACAAAACCACAAACGATGCAGAGCTTCGAATGCGAATTGTTTCCACTTAGCTTCTGCACCCCCGGTCCTCTTGTCTTGCATTGTTTTGATTCAACTTTATAAGCTAACGCCTGCCTTTCTCTCATGCAGAGAAGCTTTTACGTTGCTGCCAATACCGCGACAACAGATTCGTTGTTATATGGCACAATAGGCTGTTTTGTTGACCTATATTGCGTTGGCCTGCCTGCCTCGGCTACGCCTGCCGTGTTGCTGCACGAAGCTGTTTCTGCAGTTCAGGAGCTAGTAAACGAATGAAGGAATAAGGAGACTGATGGTGCCTACCATTTTTTTTTGTTGGCGGACTGCCTCCTGCGCCTACGTATGTAAACCACACTGCCGTAACAGAAGGGGCGTAAAGAAACGCTGTTTCACGTTTGCCGACCTTCGCTCGGAACGTGTACCCTTAGCGCAGTTTAATCACAACAGGCACTAGGTTAAGCGATGCCCGTCTTGGCGTAACCAGCGCCGCGGACATTGGCCTCTTCCTTCAAAGTAGTAACAGTAATTGATGCTCTTCGTTGACGACAACGACGGTTACGAGTTTCTTCTCGTCGTTTTCTCGTGAGAAAAATCTGCAGTGAAGCGACTACCCGTTCGTGCCGTCATTCTTCTCCATCTTGTCATAGTTGAGGTAGGGTTTAAAGCGAAGCAGAGGATTTCTTCCATGACTTCTTCATGCCTCTGCCAATGGCTTTGCTTTCCGCGCCGCATCTAATACTTTGTTGCCACTGACGGTACAGCAACGGCCCGATCTTAGTCATCAGCGCGGTATGCGCTTGCTGTTGACGCTCAAGTGGCGTCTGCCCGTTGTTCATTCGTTCGTTAAGTCATTCGGGTGGCGTGTACTTGTGGTTGCCGTTGCTTTTTACATCGACGCTCGGTTCTTCCTCTTCCGGTTCACCCCGCTCTCGGCTTATTTACCCGAGGCATATGTTAACTGTATTTTTCGTTGCGTCTGGTAACACGTATATTTAGAAGACTACTGAACCATTAGCACAGCTACTAACGTTACCGACATAACTTGAAGCCACACAAAATATTTTCTCTACGTCGTGATTCGCTCTTTCTTGTGCTTTCAAACCATTTCTGACGTACTATCCTGCTCATTGTACTCTCCTATCGACCCATTAAGCCATTGGCGCTTGCACGTGGAACTAGCTCCTTCGGAGGAAGAGTCCACCGTTCGGAAAGCCGTGAATCAAGGGGTATATGTTTATGCGGCTGCAGCAGACCTGCTTTGACCCCATCTGCTCTCCGGATCCCAGATTGCCGACACCAACGACGCTGTCTCTGTTAGCAGCTCGACAACTAACGGCACAGCGGTAGAAACCAGACTGTAGATGGAAGCGTCGGGGGTCGTAGTTCCGTTACGCCTACCCTTCAAGATAGAATATTTGCTTTCTTAGTAGAGGCTACTAGCGTCCCTTTGCCGACGGTAGAAGCTCGAACCTTTCGTAGCAGGGAAATACCCCGCTTTTCGACTAAATCGCTACGGCTGTACAAAGTATCGACCTCTACCTATTTCAATTCGTCGGCGTCGCCTAATCTCTCAATAGTAAAAGCCCGAAGCCGTGTAGGAGACGCTTGACCCGGAAGCTACGATTGTGCAGACGTAATGAAACAACGAGTGATGCACGGCAGCATTGTTCACGCTGGCTGCCGCCTCTGTCGGCTTTCAATGGCCGCAGCTGCAGTTCGGCTGTTGTCTAGTTACTGTAATCACAGTTTTGGCTGCATGATAATACTCAGACGATTCCTGCGATATTTGTCGTAATTTGTCGCCAGTTCCTCTATAACGCTGATCTATTTGATTGTCGACTTCCGACTCGATATCGATATCTATTTCAATCCCTTCGTTGCGTTCCACTTTACTCACTGCCTCATGCTTTTTCTCTCTCTACCTCTGCCTTTATTTTCCATTTTGTGTCTGCGTTCGTTTCTCGTCATGTTGGATTGTCGATCACATTTGCCAATATCGAACTACATCTGCATAACCGACCGCTGTTACAACGACGATGCTTCCGCGGCTGCAACGCAAAGCAGGAAACGCGAATTGAGGCACCTCCCGGCTCTGTAATCGGTGTCATTCGCGAGGAGCAGACGTGGTTTGGAGTCTCGCCTCGTTTCGCCGTTAACGACCTCGACGGAAAGGTAGGACATAGGGTGCGCGTGTGGCGCAAAAGAATGGCCTTGTACTAGTAGTAATAGTAGTAGTAGTAGCAGTAGTAGTAGTAGTAGTAGTAGTAGTAGTAGTAGTGGCTGTTATTGTGGTGACATTCGAAAGTGAAGAACAAATAGAAGCAGGACACGAAAGGAACGTTTGTGACGGCGGAAACAGGAGCCGTCGTTGCTGCCACTGCTCCAGCTGTTTGTTTTTCTCGTTTTACTGTTGTTGTTGTTGTTGTTATCGAACATGATATCAATCATGCTGTTCCAATTGCAGTAGTCAATAGAGCTGCTTCTAAGACTAGCTTTCATTTCGATCTAACCGTCGCCTTCCAAGAACTAGCAGAAATCTCTTCGTATGTTACACCAGATTCTGCGTCTTCAGAATCAAAACGGTTTGTTAACCTTAGGTTGTGATTGGCTAGCCTAATATGTATACGGTCGGTCTACTACTGCTGCTGTTACTGCAAAACTTCCCACCCAACTCGGGATTTCCTCTTCGCTATCAACCGTTCCACGCTGCATTTGCCGTGAAACAACCGCAGCGTTATCACTGCCGTCGGGGTACACACTTTCATCGCACTAGCCATGTTTTAACTAATCGCAAATCGATATACAATGGATGACTAGACGAAGTGATAGGCATAAAAAGTAAAATGAATCCTATCAAGAACTTATTTCACACTCAGGAGAACTGCTGTCGAAACCGCGACATTGAGGGGCCGCGGTATAATAGTGTCCCCTATTAGGTACTCATACCGTTCGAGAGTAATACGAGAAAGCTGCGTTTGGCCAGAGGCAAGGGTCTGCTAGCGGGATACGGCCCTTGTACACGCCTGCCAGCCAGTACTCCTTCCAACGAAAGTTAGGTCATACATTAGCTAAGAAATTGTTCTTTTCTAACACTGCGTATTTGCCTGGCCTATCATGGGGTAAGATTTTATAGGTTTGATTACCACTGTTGTGGGTTGTCGAAACTTCACTTCGCAGCTCCCACACGTCATATCACACACGCAATAGGCAAAAAGGCTTTTTAATTCAATTTATATGCTGTAACAAGCGCGGCATCTTTCACGTTTGTTTTCATTAAGGTAGACGCACGCCTTTACGTGTTGAAGATGTAAGGGAGACGTAAAAAGTTCATTACGGACGCGCCAATGTAGCACGAGATTCTCCCCTAGAAAGCCAGGAGCGACATAATCTGAGGCCGTGTGAATCCGGAATATAACAATTGTACATCGTTGATACTGCACGTCGTACAGGGCTTTTCGACGACTACCACGATGAGTGTATAGCACTTTGTTGCTGGAAACAACCCCGTTCGATTGGTTCGGTCATTTACTTGGCTAATTTTCAATCCGCGATATCCTTCAAACTTCTAATCGCGTAAGTATCGCTTCCGTCGCGCTACCTGGTTGGTGTAATATCCGTACGCGGTCAGGCTCTATATATACAGTATTTCCCGCTTCCATATCGTTCTAAGTACCTATTCGGTGGTTATTGAGCCATATAAAGCTGTTCTCTTTTTATAGCGTTGGCGCAATGATAATCTCTCGTGACGGAAACCTTTGCGACAAAAGGACCTTCTCGAACGTTCATTTCTACACTCTATGATATTTTTTTTTAATTTGGACATTGCTATACGATGATGTTGTCCAAAATATAACGCGATGACAAATTCTGCCAGCAGCAGCTGTAAAAGCACTCGTCAGGAGAGTTATTTTTTATGATGGTGCTTCTTTACTTGTTCTTTACCTTACGCTGCTTCACTATTTCTACTGACCTTATTTTAGCTTTTACTTTGTTCCTCTAAAATAGTCTTTCTTATGAACAACAGCAAACAAAGCTATGGGCTAGAGAGGAGTAAAAGGTGGAAGAAGCAGTTTGCGAAGCAAAACGCGTTCCCTTCAAGTGCTGGTACTGCTAAGCTATCCCACTTTTCTCAATCGTTTGCCCCCAGCAGGCCACCGCCGGTGCTAGCTACCTGCACTCAGTTTCTCATCCCTGAGCGGCATGCCCCGTTATCGCTCGACTTTAGAGCGCCTTTACTCTGTCGGCAGCGGCGTTCTCTGCCGACCCAACCGTCATTCACTTTTATCACCACACCGGTCAGTGGTCCATTTCGCTTGCGGGCCACCTGCCAGACCAACTGTAGTGGGGTATCGAATAAGGGCAGTAAGGGGATAGTGGCATAGCCGCTGCAACGACCGTGGTGACGACCCACGGCGACTATTGCGGCGCTGGTACTAGCTACTGGTCCTGCAGTCAACAGCGGCAGCAGTGGCGGTTGACTCAAATCACAACTGCGGCGCGGGAGGCAGCCGAGAAAGGGGAAGTGGCAAGGGTCCATTCAGGGGTCCTGCAAGGACCTGCAATCGGGAGCCGTCTCGGCCTTGGTCGCAGTAAAATGTCCTACTTGCCACCGCTGCCGCTGTACAATTGCCTCTGTCGTGGTCGTAGACCATTCAAAGCGCATCGCAAGGTCGTCACCAGACTATGGTTGCTCTGTGACTCGTTGTCTCGATCTATTTCTCGTTTCGTCTTTCGCCCCTCTCTGTAAAAACAAAGTATGTCCTCATCGTGTAGTCGTCGCCGAATCTCTCGCACTCAGTGCTGGGTCGGTTGGTCGGGCCAGTTCGGCCCGGACCCATCCAGTCTGCGAGCCTGCCCCGACTGCTTCCATGGCTAAGACTTCGCTAGCCATGAGGAATTTGAAAGACCCTCCTACGAGTAGCAGCAATCTGAGGACTGACTCGAAGGCGGTGGGGGAAATAGGGACTAGTGGTAAAACGGGGCATAGAGGCCAGGTTAGGAAACGTTAGGGGTTCGAAAGCCAGCTTTGACTGAACCAGCGGCCACTATGCCATGCCACACAATGCTTGCAAAAGCGTAGCTCGGCCAATTGGCCGTTGCCAGTCGAAACCGCTAACAATGGCAGCTGTTCGCTGTGGTCGTTATTATCGTTGTTGTTCCTGCTGCTGTTGCTGCTGTCATCGCAGTGGTCACTAGTTCTATTGCTGCCGCAGGCGCTGCCACTGCCGCGAAACAACATGAGCAACAGCACACAAGTAGCGAGGATAGAAAGAAGCGATGCGTGTGTTAGCACACGGTGATCTCATTGGCAGCAACTAGCAACTGAGTCAATAATGGCGAAGGCAACGATGCTACTGGGTGCTGGTAGTGCTTACTTTGACTGATTTGAGAAGCCTAGGCGAGGCTCTTTTCAAGACAGGCAACTTCGACCTGTACGGAGAAGACAGGCCAGTAGCTGGATAATCGACGGCGCTAAGCCCGCAAGAGACTGCTAGCGAGCCGTGACTCCGATCACCTATTTTGTCCCTCATAGTTCCGTATGATTTGACCTCCAGTCTAGACCCCCCACCGTGACCCTGCGTTCTACATACGACGACAAGAACACTCTGGCCACTCGAGACTCGGTGTCTATTGCCTCCTTTTTTTCGTCCTTCTGCTGCCCTTTTTCAGACTCGCACTCTGATCCGTACCGCTATGAGAGAACCTTAAGGGCTTGTGCTGTCGGGTTAGAGTTAGAAAGTGACGAGATGAGAGCGAAAGAGGAAACAGAGGCTGACGAAAGGGAAGATGGGGCAAATGTGGGGATCATAGTTGCTTGGTTACGGAATTATGATGGGGACGCTTTGTCTATGTTCACAAGCTCAGTTGGCGGCCCAGACGAGGCGGTCGCTATTATATAGTGTTTTCCAGCTGAAAACCGTACCACAAACAAGATTGTGTACATATACATTGTGTACTATACACAGATATGTATGTAACACATAGACGACTATGGCTAGTCCAGTGCGTACTCAGCGGCCAAAGGGTAGCCGGTCCTATGTAACATTTTAAACCAGCGGTGAAGAGTAGACCCTTTTCGCGGCCCTAAGCAGCCATAAGAAAAAAGATCGCGAGGAATAGAAGGAACGGAAAAGGTCGAGAAGGGACCTTCAGCGATCCGTCGCCTGATGAGCCCGTCGACTTACGATGATACTGCTAGACATCACCCGCGTTCCTTTCTTAGCATCTAATTTTCCTGCGGTATTCCCTTTGACGAATGACCGGCCGCTGGCCCTCTATAGCAGAAAAGCCGCCATGAGCAAGTACTAGTAATAAGTAACAGCTCATTATTTGTGTACACTTTCTGGTGACGTAATGCAGCAGATCACCGCTTCAGACATGCTCAGCCGACTCGACAGGACTACCGCCAGCGAGGCTGTAAACAGGCCCTGCGAAATGAGAATGGAAAACGGGTACAAGCTAACCGCATACCAAGAGTTTAAACTTCTCGTATTCGAATGACTGAGCGATTTGAATTTTGGTACCCATAGGCTACATCCACGACCGCCGATTCTCGTAGCTACTGCTGCTGCTGAGATGCGATGTTCACCTGCTGGTCTCGTCTAGTCACGCATCCTCACCTTTGTCAGTCCAGCTTCGTTATCTTCTCAAGTCCATACGCTCTTGTTCTTGCCTTATCCAACCCCATATCCATCCTGCCACCCTAATTTGCCATACCCTCTCATTCACTCTCAACGTTTAGAAACTAGCCATGAACATCGCCGTCACCAGCACTGCTCCAAATGGCCTTTCACCACAATTCACTTCGAATCGACGACAACGACAGTGTGTTCATTTCCCCGCTCTAGCGGCATCGCGGAATTCACCGTCGCTACTGTTACCACTGCTGCTCGCGACGAAACAAAAAGAGAACGTGACTGGCCAACCAACCGCTTGTTGCCTCCTTTCTCCCAGTTGTGTCCTGCCTTTTTCCAGCTAGACCCGTCTCTGGTAGGAGTTTTTCCGATGAGTTCTCCTAACCCGACAGACACAGGGGCTCCCCGAGAAGAAATGAGCGTCTAACGAACTAGTGCCCGCGTCTTTAAGAAGGTATCTCGTAGCCCGTCCTGCTACCATAGCCGCCACTGACGACACCTTTTGTGATGTCGGTATTTTGTCAGCGAAGTAACTCCAGTCAATTTTATTCTATTCCTATCCGACTACTTCTACCTCGTGTGGAACGCTCTTTGGAGCAGCCCTGCAAAGCAGCGGAACGCCGCCTCTCGTTCATTTGCTCGTCCTCTGTATGTGGCCTCTAAAAGCAGTGGCCCCCATTCCTTCAGTTTCATCTTCGACCTCTCTCAACTCTAACGGCACCCCTGCCTTACTCTGATTGGTCCCTTACAAGATCTCGCCATTGCATAGACATACATATATATATATATATCCTGGGCAAGAAACACGTACACGCAACAGCGCCACCGTTGACGACAAAAAACGGATCGGTGTAAAGAGAGCGTAAAGAATCAGCAACCGCTTGTTTTTCTCGCGGCCAAAACTTTATGGGGCGCCTTGTCTCTCAACTAAAAACGAACGTTACCGGTGATTACAGAAGTCAAACGATACCCATGACCATAGAAATTCCCTCGTTTCATCCGGATGTCACCAGTAGCAATGAGTGGCGTTGTTATCATCAACGTGATGATAACTGCCTTCGACGTCTTCGTTATTGCCGTTCTCGTCATTGTCAATAAATTGTAATAGACCAGTGTAATCAGCCGAATCAGCAGCGCGAAACGGGGTTGTTTTCCTTTTGTTATCTGGGATTTAGCTGATCAGCCCCACCGACTAACGCACTAGCTATCGACAACCATTGTGTTAGTATACTGTTCTGTTTCTCGAAGCATCTCGCCACGATGCGCTGCTGCTTGCTGTCGTGGATACAATGTGATGCTCAGTGTCTTTTGCTGTAGCCATGTGTCTTGTCCTGCTTGCCTCCGTCTTGTTCGCGTAGTCATCGCTGGTGATAGCTTCGTCGCCGTTGCCGCTACAAGGCTACTAGTACAAGGCTGGCAGTGGATTGACCCCTTGGGGCACCGTCTCACTCTCTTGGATCGGCCCGTGATGTCTAGGTCAGTCCAACACGACAGCCGTTAGAGGATTTGACTATTTTTAAAGGAAATCCACCAGAAAACGTAACCGGCAAGGGACTGAAAAGAACAATGTGTAGAGGTGCCTTCGTTCGCTGATAATAGTTCAGCAAAATTGCCGCTGCACCCAGTGCAACAGGCCAAGCGGTCAGCTGGCAACGGGCCTAACTCGCTGTCGGCGACTGCCGCCACTCTACTGTGTAAACCATGTAGCACAAAATAAGCACAATGGTGTTCCCCTGATATTATGATACCGCAAGGCTGGGTGGGTGAGCGTAAGGGACCAATGAGGGAAAAACAATTAGGTGACTGCAGGCATCAATCGCTGATCTAAGCGCTAAGAAAAGCAACCCAGGGCAAACGTCATTACCCACTATGGCCCCACCGCTACAGCTAGAAACAGAAAATCAACTGAGAATAAGCCAAGCGGCGCGAACCAACGGTCGTCGCCGGCAATGGACACAGCACAGATTATACAACACAACAAGGAGTAGTCGAGTGGAGGTATCATAGAGGCCAACTTCATTTAAAAACGATAAACCGCACGTTTGACCCTCTTCGGAAAAACAAATTTATCCTATTTCAAGTAGGATTAATATTTACAGGGAAAGGCCCATGTATTTTATGAGAAAATGAGGTGTCACCGGTAAGAAATACTTGAACAGTTCTCAGAGATAAAAGAAATTGTCAATGATATGGTTCGGTATTAAAGAGATAATAAATGAGGAAGAAGCTGCAGCTATGATCTGTGTGTGTTCGTTTTGGTGGAAACTGGTTGGATAGGGGTAATATTGTGACTTAGCAATATGTTCATCTTACACGAAGCGTGGGCTACATTGTACCACCTGTGTGAGTTTCCATTTTCGGCAACGTGTTACACGTTTTCGCCTGCTTTACATGAATCATGTATGGCCTGAATTCATGATCGTTATTTTCAGAGGTGCTCTTAGCATAAGCAGTGAGCACAATATATTATTTTTTACAATATGTTAGTAAAAAAAAGGACAATTTTCACATCTAATAGTGGCACATCCTGCTGATGCTTCTTCTCGCAGTTGCTCTACGAAATTCAAGGCCCGACGTGTCCACGCGTGGCGTGCTTTCTTGACGGCGATATCGACTTCACGGTGAGAATACTATACGGTATTCGATAATAGTTGACATTCGACACTTATTCTAATATGGTCGCATTATACGACTAATAAAATGTCTCCTAGATGTGTGCAGAATGTTTTAGTCGCGCTTTTAACACGTAGATTTCACGGTATAAATCCCACTATTCTTCATTTTACCTCTCTTCTTCTTCAAACTAATATGTATGAATTTGTGTATGCATTATAGATATACAGCTCTCTCTCTCTCTTTATACATATGTTTAGGTAAATCTTCATACGACTTTTCCTCTTCGCTCACAACGTATGACGTTGTCTGTTACGCCTACCCCAATAACGCTGTCCGTGAGCTATCTGCCCAATTCCCGTAGGCGAAAAATACGAGCTCTACGATTGTCTTGTGCACTATCAACATCATTCCAATACCGATTTCATTGGGAAGACCCTTCACGCCACTGCCACAAGCTTCACAGCGTTGCAACCGTTAGGCCCAACCATTTACTCACCAGCAAGTCCTCCCAATTCGCGGTTTCCGCAGCTGTGTCGCCACCACTATATAAGCCTGTTCGTCTGTTATCATTTTACTGCCCCTGCAGTAGGACCAACAGCCACAGCGTGACGTTTTCCTCAGCGAGCCTCACGACGGAACAGCGCCCAATAGTCGCACAATTCGAGACACTGAAAACATTAGCCTGACTCTCGATGCTCCTATCTATACAAAATTGATACTAACGATCCGAATCGATCCGGCGCATCATCTGGCCGAGTAAGATTCGCACAAATGCTGAGACAATATTGTTTCTGTTATATTTTTTTTTTTATTAACTCTGCACTCGATGGTGTGCTGTTCAGTTCTTTCCTTTTTCTATGTTTATATCTAGCATGTAAATATCTTATCTAGCATGTAAAAATACGATTGACAAAATAAAGTCGAAAGGGTAGGGGCCCATCCTATATTATGTCTGCCAGGTGATTCGCCACTGACCCCAGTCACCATCCAAAACGTGAATCTAGCAAGTAGTCTACCTACTACTACTTCTCTACTTTGTGCCTTTCGTTCCGCACTACCTCGATATTCCGTTAAGTCGCTGCAAACTACGCGCGTTTTTCATTTTGATCTTGCATCACATCAAGCGGGTGCTCCTTGGCTGTTCCTGCAGCTCTTTTTCGAGACAGCTAAAAAACCTAAGAATGAAGGCTTTTCTTTGCGAATGGTAGAGCCCCGCCTGCTTCTAAGGTCTGTAGGCTTTTATAGAAACCAATAGCTTCGTGAGCAATCCTTCCATTCTTTAGAGTCGTTTGGGCTATGGACTGTCTCGGCCAAATATCGCATGGCATCACCTTATCAAATAGAACAGGACGAGTTCTCATCGGTCTGTGGGTCTATAAACCAAAGAACGCTCGTTCGGCAAAGAAATAACTTCCTTTCTTTGACCCATTCCCTCTCGTACAACGAATTTGTTTTACGCGTCGAAAATTTAGCTGACCGGGCATCATCGAGCATCATTACCGTCGACTGCTGTTGTCCCCACCTCCTGCTTCCCAGGTTGAGACAAACACGATCAAAGCCGTGCGGGAAATTGGGGAGAAGGGAGTGCCTACTTCTGTTTTGCCGTTTTGGTTTGTGCGACGCCCCCGTCCAGCTTCCCACGGTCTACTATGTGTAGCTCTGGGTCCGAGAATTCCGAGGACACCCAGTTTTTACCATTCACACACCGTCGCATGCGTTCTCTTTTCGTCCCTTTGCGTCCCTACATTCTCTCACCCTCTTACCTTTTACTACTGATTATTTCGTTATTTATTATTTCTTTGTGTCTTTCGTTTCTTACAATTTTTACCATATCTCAAGTACCCTGCTTGCCGTGGGGACGACTAATGGGTGCTGAGGATTTGGCTTAATTTCGCTCAGCATTGTACAACTCCAGTAAAACTGTCAATACTAGGCGCGCTTTACATTTTGTGTTCGCAAAGGTTTGTAGATTCTAAGCTGAATTCTTATTTCCGTTGCAATTCCTGCTAACGATACTTACCAAAACGTCTATATATGCTCGGGGGTAGGAACGAACACTCATGTGGTATCGTGCTCTCCTCACGTGAGACGAGGACCAGATGAAGGCATGCAGCGCCGGCTGGAAAAACAGAACCGCAAAACAAGCTTTTCTCCTAGGTGCTTACTACTTGAATTTCGCGTTAAGTTCTGATAGGCTTAAAGGTTTTCCGCGGTACTCGCCAGTCGCGCAGAGGGTGACCCAACTGGTAGGTTCCAACATGTAAATCAGCTAGGAAACGTTGGAACAATGCGAGCTATTCATGCCAGATTCGTTAGCACTGATTCGTAACAGAAAAGCTCAACGTCCATGAGGTTTCCTTCGCCATCGTCCTACTGGACATATGTTGCGTTGTAGCTCTCCTTAGTACGATCCTGGAGAAAATTCGATGATGATCCGAGGAATGGAGGCAGATATAACACTTCTGATGGCGCTGGTAGGTGAAGGCGGTGTGTTGATGGGCTAATAATAGCTTTTGCTATCTTGTAAAATGGATGGCGCGTTGATGGAGATGGAATGAGCAAGGATAGGTCTAGCGGAATTGGACGAAATGAGTTTAAAACAACAGCCTTCTGATCTGACTCCTCCTGATCAAAAACGACAGACGGAAAAAAGGGTAAACAGGTGCTTTTCCTGTACCATTTATGAATCTTTTCCCTTCTCTGGCCTCCTTTTCGGTGGCGCCACATTTGACCGTTTTGGTAGCCGTTCTGGCCGCCAAATTCTGACGGCTCGGTCGGCTTTTTTTGATGCCATCATAAACAAGCAACGTCGACAAGACACATTTACTCTACGCTACTGATATTTCTTCAGTTGTCGATTGATGTAAGTATCTTATGACCTTCAAGTTCATGTATACCACTTCTATCCGTGTAGTTCTCACCGTTAATCGCCCCTATTTTCACCCCCTAAAATTTAAATGTAGGGGAGCAGTCCTTCGACGGTAAAAATTATTAGTTTTGGCTGCCGCGATAATTTCCTTCGGTACTTGACGAAAATCTTGTGCCTGCCACTAGTCCTGGTTTCGATAACCTTGCCTCTGCTTTTTAGCTAATATGAAAACTACGTCGGGTTTCAAGCCCATGGCTTATAAACTTCGTTCAATGTGGTAAAAAACGCTGGCCGGGAACCTCTATTTTGGAAAAGGCCAAAAAGGAATCGTAGTGTCACTATAGCAAACGCGCTTTGTCGTATAAAAGCCGAAGGTAGGAAAAGCATGTGACAGCGAGAATAAGCGGAAGTGGAAAATGGGAGCGACTGAACAGAAAAAAACGAGAAAAAAGGAAACACACAGCGATACTAATGTCCCTGATGATTACGATAATGGTAAGCGAAAAGAAGGTGGCAAAACGACGAAGGCGAAGAAGTGCCGCCGCACTTCAATGAAAAAGAGCGGCCATTCCTGGACTGAGGAACCTAATGAAGAACGAAGGTCGCCCCTGTATCTCTCCGAATCCCTTTCCAAGGGATATTTCTGTTGACTCGAAAAGGACATCAGATACAGCAACAGAAGTAGAAACAGCATCGATCATTTTCTCAGTGGACACAACGCTAACAAAGAAAGGCGTTGCATATCTGAAGGTGGTGGAATTCGGCCCAGGAGTCCGCCTGCTGTCGTGGACAGACAGATCGCCGGATAGAAGCCGCTGGGGTATAGGGAAGGCTACCCCATTTTTTTAACCTTCTCCATATACGTTAACTTATAGCCGTTTCGACAATTTACTTGTTTTTCTTTCTGACCGCCGTCTTCTACAATGTGACGAGTTGCGGCAATGTGGCAGAGTAAGAATGATAAGTTCGGATCCATTTACTACATCTGCTGCACTCTTGTAGGGCTATACATTGGACGACAAATGAAAAGCAGATCGTGTAAGAACAGAATTAACGGCACAGTATGACAGAAACGCGGAGTTTGATGAAGCTTATTTGTTATTATCGTGATGCTTTTAATTCTGTCCGGTTCAAGCCAATTATTGATAGTGTACTACGTAGAGAGAACCGTCCTATACAGTCGATAAGGGTTCCTTGAACACGCAAAGAACGCATGATACACAATATGTAAGTTGCTCCAATTAACCATAGCCATTGCCAGCAGACACATTTCGGACCATTTTTTCTCAACCAGAGCGGCAAAGTTCTTTTAGGTCTGCACGTCTTTATTCTATTTATAAAGTCAAAACTAAAAAGACATAGAAGAACAGTGACAGATAAAACTATAAATGCAACCATATCCACCCCAGCCGGGCCAATTAGTCCGCATACGGTGCTGTTTTCGCCTTAATGTATGGCGTTCTTCTCTTTGTAACGGTCGTTTTCATGTGCTGTATATATTCTCTTTAGCCCTGGCTCCCTTAGACTGAGACTTGACCACTTGATGTACATACAATATAGCAAGGGAGCAGCACAGGCCACCATAAATATAATGACTGACGTCGTTCTACGTCGTGGAAATATTCCACTTACGACGTCTACCGACGTCATTTTACCGTCAGACTCTCCGAGTTCTCTCAACCCCTTTGTCTCCGCCGCCCTCCCTTTGTACGATCTCATCAAAATGAGTAACTGATAATTCCACTCGAGTTTCCAGTTGTCAAACCAGAACAGACTTCTACCACGAGCAGAACTACATCAGGACACATTATCACTTAAAATATTATACTGCCGAAATTCAAATGTTCTGGGTGGCGGGTACTGACTGTATAGTACACAATAGAATAGTTAACATTATGGAAACATAACAAGATGCGTCACACCATGCGTCACTTCAGCGATTAGCAGATCTGGCACGGTGCAACACAGAGGCTTATGTCGCCTTTCGGATACTGGTTTATGAAAGTATTACTGCTGCGATTGCTACAGCTTCCTGGTCTTCAAGCCCAGCTTTACATTTTTTGTCCCCTGTGGCCCCACATTAAATTTTCAGCGATTTATTACGGAAACGGTAGCGTTCGTTCGGTAAAGAATTCG